CAAACACACTAAAAATCATAAAAACCAAGATAAAAATAGAAGAGAAAACTTACATACACTTCTCCTTAAACATGCTTACCATGTTTGCAGTAGACAAATTACTTGAAACCATTACCAAGACGAAACACAAATCTCCACCAAGGAGGTTTCAGAGAAGCCCTAAAATTGTTGGCTATGACCGCAAAGATGACTATCCAGAGATGTCCTCGGAGTTGAGGGAGCCTCTCTTATCGTCTCGAGGCAAGGATGATTGTGATCAAGGGATGAACAACAAAAAGGTAGTACAGGTAAGTAACATAAGTAACAAAAACAATAATAATATTAGAGTAAAAGTTTTGTTAACAAAAGAAGAAGCAGCAAAGATGTTATCAAAATGTAAAGGGGATGGTGCTTTGGATTTTAAAGATGTGGTTAATGAGCTTATGAAGCTTCCTGCTCAACGGATTAATGTCGTTCCTGGTACTATTCGGCTGTCTAATGATTTGGAGCTTGCTACTATTGTTGAAGAAGTAGAAGAAGAGGAAGAGGAATACTATAAGAAGAACGTATGAGTAGTGTTTTATTATCGTTCAATTCCCCCTCTTTTTTCTTTGTTTATAGGGAGTTACAAAGGTAGTAATGTATGTAGATGAGATTCGATCTCAAGTCTTGGGCGTTAACCCTTAAGGTTAACTAAGTACGTTAGTTGACATCCACTTTTTTGCTCACCTTTTTTTCAAAGAAAAAGGCCTAGGCTCGGTAGTGAATCAGATTAATTTAGAGGAATTCTTCTCTTCGTAGAGGAAAGTATATACTTGTCATTTTTCATAATTGTAATTTATCTAGAAATATTTATTATAATACCATGATTCACACATCCAATTATATAGCCTGTTGTGGTGATTGGTGAATTTGATTGCTTGGATTTTCAAAATTACTGGTTTGAAGTTTGAACAACTATTTAATTTAATGTAGAATTACTTGGCTAGGTCCATGTGAATTCAATTCCATATTAATTAAAATTTTGAGAGAACTTATAAAATAAAATAAAATGGATTCATGCCACTTATATACGTGTTGCAGGTAATTCGAGACAACTTGTGATAAAAAAAAAATATGTTGTACGGATTATATAATTGGAGTATCCAATGTGACATACATCAAAAACAGCAATTCACACAAATATATTCAAATACTTTGTATATATAATTAACAATACTCCGTAATTAATTAACATTCTCAAAAAAAAAAAAAAAAAAAAAAAAAAACCGTAATTAATTATGTGAAATGAGAAACAAATACTGCGTAATTTAATTTATGTGGGATGCCTAGCTAGTATGTCCATCAATAATTTACATTATTTTCAGCGACCAAAGTTGCAATAAAGAAATCTAAGCAAACTCCTGATCGATATATTTGCACAAAAGGAAAAGGCCAGACGATATATGGATTGGATCGGAGAAACGAATGCACTACTAGAGTACTAGAAGCTCTTATGAGATGAACAATATGTTGTACTAATCAAATTAAACTTCGGCCATTGTTATTGGTGGTTGATTTCGGTCATGTGTAATTGTGTATTTGTGCATGTAAGAGGTAGTAACATACTATGACAAGTGATGTTTTGGCTCAATTGCTAATGCTTGTCGATATTCAATTCCTAAGTAACCTTATTATGTTACTCCGTACTGATCTAATGATCTTTATGGACTTTGTAGATGGTGTTGCAGACTTATAATGTCCAATTTCACAAGTTGTGCTATAGAACTGTCGTTGCTTGTTATACTGCAACGGCAGTTGGTAACAAGCAACGACTGTTGGTATAGCAGAACACCTACTGTGAGCTCTACATTGAAGCATGTTTTTGAGGAGTGAGCTTATCGCAAACTCTGATCTACATACGTACATACTACATTCATATGAAGCGGGTCTTTGAAAATTGCAATGTCATTGAAGGCTTTGATCTGAGCTTATTGTATTAGGTCGTGAAAGCCAAAAACTATTTACACAACTGTGAAATTGATTCGTTCCATGACTGTTATATGTCGTGAACTCGTGATCAGAACAGCATCTAAGCCTCGAAAATCTGGCTGTAACCATAATTAAAAGCCTTGGTTTCTTAGCAATTAAATTCGGATTTACGTACTCTATATTCGTAAGGACGTCCTTAAATCGGCTAAAACATACATGTTCCTACGCATTGAAACACAAATATTACTTTGCAATCCTCCCTATAAGTCGGCTTCATTTAGTTCAAACCTGAACTATAAATATGGCATCCAAATTTTTTGATCACCTTTTTAATGTGAACTACTTATAAAGTTAAGAGCAACCAATTTAACAGTCCAAACAGCTGTAATTCAATAAGCTGTCAATTACACTTCTGTTAATGTTTCTTCATTTCCTGTGTTTGTTTCGTTTTGGTTGTATCATTGTATGTGGACGTTGTCAAAAAAATTCTACAGTACTTGGTAGGCAACCTTTTCGCTATTTCTATTTGGTGGACCAAAGATTATCAAATCTGCCGTAGTAACTAAATACTGAATACATTAGGCAGAGTGTGGAGCTATGCATGAGATCTCATAATTGACATTTAAATAATTGAAAATCGTAACTATGCTTAATAAAAAGGAAAATTGTTCCTTGTACCGTATACACACTATTTTTTTTAAGTAATCTTAAAAGGGTTATTACCTTACAACATTATGATTGGAATTTGGAAATATGATTCTAAAAAAATGATACTTGTTATTCTCGGGCATAAATCAAGGGCCAATAAGGTTTCACATAGTACTGTCAAAATGGTTTGAAAGTTCGGTTTGAAATCGGTTCAAATGTCTTACGGGTCGGTTTCAGTTCGGTTTAAATAATTATCGGTTCGATTCGATTTCGGTTTATTCTTTAACGGTTTAAATTCGGTTCGGGTTGTAAACGGTACGGGTAGTAAACGGTTTGGTGCAGACCGGTTGCGGTTTGTTAACGGTTCGGTGTAAACGGTTTTATCCAGGTTCAAACGATTTCGGGTTAGAAACAGTTCGGTTCTTTTTTGGTTCAGTTTTATTTTAGTTCGGTTATAACTGATTCGGTTCGTTTCTTCTACGATTTAACATTATTCGGATCGGTTTTATTTCAGGTTTACTAAATTACGGTTTGGGTCTGTTTTTTATTTCTAAAAATCGGTTTTTGATCGAGTTGTTTGGATTCGGGCAATTAAACGGTTTTGGTTTGAAATTTGATACTACTTTCTAAGTTTTTGTTGGTTAACAAGTTTTATATCAAGCCGAGACTTCATCACTTCATATTGAGGCATCATATTATATGCAAATTCTCATTAATTTTATAAATACATATCATGTTATGTTTCAAGTTTAGCCATAATGATCTTACTATTTTATTACAAAGTAGATTATAAAAGTTTAGTACATTAATGTATTATTGTTTTACTATCAGATTATTATCTGCTTATTATTTGATCATTTAATTAATAGTGTCATAATTATGATTTGATGAGTTGTTGTGACATCGAAATTTGCAATTTGGTATTCGATACTTAATTAGTCAACAAGACTGATAATTAAGACTCGTTTATCATTATACATATTTGCATAAATTTATGTATGAAGATATTACAAAGTAGTTTGATTTGTTTAATGAAAGAAAACATTAATGAATAAGATGGTAATATTGATTCTTTCAATCGATTATACATATACATAACATCTAACCATCTGATATTCTCATAGTTAGATATTTATTAGTATAAAGGGATGAGAATCATAAGATTATTATATTTTTGTTTATCCTTTACTGGTTTACCCCTAAGGCTTAAGTCGCTAATAAACGGTTCGATTTATAATACCTTTTAACTTGGTTTTAATCTTTTATTTAAAATACCTTTTAACTTGGTTTTAATCTTTTCTTTATAGTCAATGGTTCGTAAACGGTTCAATTTATAAGCGATTCGGTTCATAAACGGTTCGGTTTATAATCAGTTCGGTTTATAAACGGTTCGGTGCAAACGGGTTGCGGTTTGTTAACTGTTCGGTGTAAACGGTTTTTATGCCAGTTCAAACGGTTTCGGGTTAGTTTCGATTCGGTTCATTTTCGGTTCGGTTTCCTTTCAGTTTGGTTTAGATTTGGTTCGTTTCTTAAACGGTTTAACGTTACTCGGATCGGTTCGGTTTTGGGTTTACTAAAATGCGATTCGAGTCGGTTTTCGATTTCAAACAGTCGGTTTTTAATCGGTTCGGTTCTCATTCGGATCGGTTTGAACCAATTCGGTTTCACCTGTTCGATTCGGTTTTTGACAGTGATACTTCACGTATGACTCGTATCAAATTAAACTATATGATCGACCTATAACGCATTGACATTTGTGTAAATATCCCCATCAATTTCTATTAAGTTTCGACTAGTGATGAGCGTCACACACCTAAATTAAGTTCAATAAATTTAATAACACATATCCACGTATTAATAATCAATTAATTAATCAGCTAGAAATGGACAACACTAAAAAGTTTTTTTTTTTTTTTTTTTTTTTCTTTTCTCTTTAGAAAGGAACCCCTGTTACTCTGTAATCTGTACTCTGTAGTCCACAGAAAATAATTAAGAATTATGCATGATTTTAAGTTAATCTTACCAGTGAGCTATCATCTTATACTTTAAACTGTAAACAATAAATTTAAATTAAAGGAAAAAAAAAAAAAAAAAAAAAAAAAAAGAAGAAGAAGAAGAAGAAGAAAATACATGGAAGATTGATGATACTCCTTACGTAAAGAAACACTTCAATCTGATCTATCTCAAAAAATATATACATCTGAGTGATCCACACCATAACTACACAAGAAAAGGTGGGGAAAAAAAAAAAGAGCAAACCTCAAGTGACAAATCTATCATCTACATGGACGCCAACTAGTTTAATCGGTAAATACAGAGAGACAGTGCCCCCAATACTTGAGATCAAATCCCGTCAATCTTTAGAAGCTCCCTACCCGGAAAAACAAAACAAAACAAAACTATCATCTATTCATCTCATGAACTTCAGGGATTTCAGTAATACTATCAAGAGAAGGTTTCCAAGAATGACCAGATGAAACTACTTTCTTTCTACCCTTCTCAATCTCACCAAACACATCTTCAATCCTCTTAACCCCATTTTCTCTGTTACTCAGTTGCATCATTAACCATTGTAACTCTTCTTTAGTCAAAACCATCTTTACTCTTAACCCATTTTCATTACTCACGACATCTTTCACAACTTCTCCTTCTTTTCCCCTCATTTCAATCTCTTTATTTTCTTCCTTACAAGTTTCCATACAATTTCCCATAATTTATATAAAACAAAAGTTTGGGATCAAAATATTTTTTGTTGGGTTTTAATTTGGGAGGAAAAAGAAGGATTTGCTAAAGTAATGTATGAAATGTGGTTTATATATATAAAGGGGTTTAGAAGTGAGTGTACATAAAATTACAAATAGTACTTAAGAAAGTTGATTAATGTACGTAGAAAAATGGGATCATTGACATGTGAGTAGATTGTCTTTTTGCACAGATGACAAGTGACATTGTCTAACCCCCACATTGTTAATGGCCCTACTTCACTATAAATTAATCAAACTTCAACTTCCTTTTTTATTTTTGACCTTTCGTAGACACTACACTACTCTGGTTTTAAGGGAAACTGTTGTTGGTTGCAAATTCCAATTTTATTTGGTTGCTTTGATTGTGTTTTAGTAATACTTGCCTTTCTTTAAAAAAAGTTTGAACAAAAAAATATTGATAGGGTTTCAATTTTGATGTCTTGAGGTATGGTACAGATAATTTCGGCAAAATATTTTGCATACTCTGTCTATAATTTTACTTTAGACTTGTGATTGAATAACAATTTCAATTTAGTTATTTACTACCACCATCTATTAAAAAGTGATACGACATGCAAAAATTAACCTAAAGGTTATGCAAAGGAGTGAGGAGTGGAGAGATGGTTAATCCCTCCATCTCCTCCAAAAGTGACCTGGGTTCAACTCATCATTCCTCTCCTGTAATAGGAGGAGGATCCCCTTTTATCTTACCACTAAAAATAAATAAATAAATAAAACTAAAGGTTATACAATTGTATTATATGATATTATGAATATTCTATGTCCTTAAGTGTAATAACCTTAGCATTCTTGGGTATTCAAGATAGTTATAAAATATTTTTTCAATATTACATATTTATAATAATTTAAAAGCGATACCTATTTTCTATTTACCATGAACAATTACTCCCTCCGTTTCAAATGTAATTGTTCCATATTCTTATTTAGAGTGTCTCAATTTACTTGTCTTGTCTCCTTTTTATCTTGTGAATATTATTATGAGACAAGTGAATTAAGACATATGGAGTAGGAAGTATTCAAGGTAATTTAAAATATGAATTAATACGGAATAAAAAATAAGACAGCTCATACATTTACACGTAATTTACTATATCTAGCTAAAAAAAACAGTATATAAACCAAAATTAACAGTGGATTAACATCTTGCAACGTCGATAAAACAGAGATACTACTTTAGAAAGAGTTGGAAAAATCTTTCAATCATGCAAAATTACAATCATAAGACATCACATCTAACAGTATGAATTGTTTTAAATTCAGTTAGATAACAGCTAGCATTCGTGTCATTTCAAGTTAAAAGGCAAAAGAATCACATTCTTATCACTGTTGGTTTGTGTTTTGGCATTTGCTACGCGCAGAATAACACGATTAAGGAATACAATCCTTCTTAAGAAGACTCTAACTAGTATAGAATCTAAAGGAATTTGTCTTTAATATACACGGGTGTACCTATAATCCAACGCTCAATCAAATGAAATGTTTCGGCTCTTAAACCAGACAAGCATAAAAACCCATAAACTTAGCTCAGTTTAAGCGCGTCAAGTTCATATTTAGATTAAAGCTACTCGTGTACAAGTTCATTAATTGGACAAAATAATCACGGGCTTACTAATATCCAAATGATTCACACCTAATCTCTAAATAAATTAAGATTTAGATGACTAAAAATAGAATTTTATAACCCTAAAATAATGAAGAAATCACCTACTGGAGAGAGAGATTAGGGTCCAGAAATTTCGGCATCCTCTATTTGTAGATATAAATTAAATAAAATTAATGCTCCCTCCGTCCCTTTTTTATATGCCCATTTCTAACATTTGTTACTCACATAATAAAGAGAAATAGACATATAAATATAGAACGGAGGGAGTTTCATGTCACATTATAATTAATAGTCACGTAGCTTAAGCAAGGCTTCAACGCTCTAAAACAAAATGTAATACGTTGTCCTAATATTAGTATAATTAGGAGTAATGACAATTATGAACATGCACCGACAATAATTAATTGATGAATCATTGAATTTATTTTTATGAACATTATATTATTTAACGAACTTATCCCTAATTCGACGTGATCATGACCATGCATGACGTTCATTGTTCACAAGGCAAATAGGCAGCCAACTATTTGGTTATTCTTAGGCTATCTAAGGTTGGAACCCACGTCTCCTTGCTGGGAAAAAATCTTTTTTTTTTTTTTTTTTTGAGAAAATCATAATTAAAATTGTTTTTAAATTTCAAGTAGCATAATGTCTGTATCTTTTTTATTTATTTATTTATTTATTTTTTTTATTTTTTTTTTTGCATATAGCATAATGTCTGTATTAATAGCAAAGAAAGTTAGTAATGAGGTAATGACACTATCTGATTTTATTCAATTACTTGCTTAAAGAGCAAAAAATCTACACTGAAAAGTTGACGCAAATAGATGGTATGACATCAAGAGCAAAAATAAAAATCGACCTTTAAGATCAATAATAAATCATTACTAGTATTGACTTACTATATAATCTACATGCACTAAAAGTTTTAAGGCCTTGTCATTTTTAAACTTAATTAACTGAAGTGAACTTAAATCAATATAAAGTTAAACTGAAACTAAACTAATATTTCGTACGTAAACACTGAAAAATAAGTTTAAAAGAACCCGACTTAAAAATACAAATTGTTGTATAATTTACATGGCACGATATAAACCACTTACTTTTCAAACTAGTTCAACTCCGCGCTAACTATAAAAGGCGGGGTTGTGAATTGTGAGACATACAAGCAAAGAGTTGGAGAAACACACCGAGAGAAATTGCCCAACTTCTCTACTGTTGTAATAAATCTGGTGACAAAACACATCACTTTCACAAATCGGCGGAATACCCAATTAATGAATTTATGAGACAAGCCAATCTATGTTTAGGTAGTAGGAAAAGACTAATTTTTCAACGTAAATTTATGTCTTTCTCCTTTTTGACCGTTTTGGAAAATAATTCCTCTACAAAAGCTTTCGTTCCAAGAGGAAAAGTGTTAACAAACCATGATTCATGACATCACTTGATAGCTTTCGTAGATTTGCTAGGTAATTGTGATGGTAAGTTAAATTAATTAACAATAAACCCGGGGATTTAGCTAATCAAACCTTAGGTTTCGGGTTTTGTCGGCATTAACCTTCAACTTTGAAGCCAATCTTCAACCTTCTACTATGGTATATTCATCACAAGATTTTGTTAAAAAGTTGAAGAAATTTGACAAAATAGTTGTCAAGCATAATAAAGATTTGAATGGTAGAAAAAGTAGAAAAATCTTTGGAATGTCCCACACCCTCCTTACAAACCTCCATAGCAGTCTCCTTACCCCTTATATCCACAACTGAAAAGGGTATAAGCTTATAAAAAAGGCTTTTTTCAGTCATGGGAGTCTTGAGTGAGACCATTTTCACACTAAATTTTATAAAAAATTGTCACCCCTAAACAACAAAACTGCCAAAAAAATTTGTCATCTCTAAAACTTAAGTCCCTAATCACAAAATAATATGGTGTAAGTTCACACTAATAGCATTCAATGCCACCAAAAAGCAAGCAGATACGTTATTCCTACTTCCCAACCCAAAGTTCACACTACTTGTTTCTTTCAATAACATACATGCTGCCTAGCTTAAAACCGGGCAGTAACAAAGTTCGTGAACCTTAGATGCTTTGTTGCCCAACTCTCTTGAGAGTCTTAACTATATAGCAACTAGCAAAACCTCCAGAGTAGAGCAAAATATAACAGTTTAACATTACTTTAGCATTTAATGACACCAAAGTTGGGCTAATACTACTAAAAACTAGTTGGTTGCCCATCACACCTTTTTTTTTTTTTATAAAAAAAAAAAAAAAAAAACAAGGCTACTTAGCCCCTAATCAGAAGCAATTGACAATAATGCTAGTTTAACTTGGAAACCCAAGATATCTTTCCATGACATCAACCATATTATGATATTATTTGTACCCTACATGGGACAGACAAATTATCAAAGAATAGTATGCAGAAATATCGAACCTTTTTTTTTTTTTGGAAAGTGAATGAAACATAATCTAGGTGAACTTTATGGATAAATGTAGCTCAATTAGAAGCAGTTGATCAACTGAAGGATATGAAAATCTGACAAATCTACCAACTATAGTGTCCAGTCCATTTTCAGTCAGTAAAATTAGATGGCTAACATATTTGCCATGCAAGTATAAGCTCACAAGAACTGCATCCAACAAAAGCATCAAGTAGGGAAACAAAGCACATCATAAAAACAAATCAACACCAATAATATATTTATAATAATATACAGAAGCAGGTAGAAAGGAGTGCAAGCAAAGAAGAGCTGCACAACTGCATAAAACCAAATTACACTGAGGAACTGACACAATAACCAGCTCAAATTAAAAGACGGCAACAAATGAAGACGAAGGTAGGTCATGAAACCAAACAGACCATGTCACTGTCCGTAGGTAAAGAACATTGAAATGCAAGCAATAGGTGAAATGCCAGACTCAAGAGCTCAGAGTCTCAGACCAACAGGCTGGTGTTTTTGAGCAGTCTCCAATTGAAGTACAGAAGTAGTATCGTTATTAGTGTGTTACCATTAATAATAATCAAGTATTTTATTGAAAGTTGACCCCCAATATCCAAAAATCCCCTGGTCAGTTAGATCCATAACAAATTTAGAAGCAAATCAGTTTCCACCTAACTTCTTGCTTACATGTACAGGAAACCTTAGAATTCCACAACAAATCGGATATGACAACATCTGAGAGAAGAGATTGTGGGGGGGTTGGAAGGGAGATGCATCTAAACTTATGACTTCCTGAATAAAATACCAAACATGAAAATGCCATTATACATAACATGATGAGGAATCAAGGTACAGAAAAAGAAAGTGAACACAAACTGGAACATCTAAACATTGTCCAAACACTGAGAATGGTTCAGAGGTCTCACAAGTAAGCTAGAGCATAACTTAACATCAAACTTACAGAGATCTACGACGTTTCTTACATTTCGCGGCGGCGTTTCCTTTTGAGATTGTCAAAGAGTTCATAAATATCAGCAGATGTCACTGCTTGAGATGCATCGCGATTTGCCTGAATGATTATTAGGAAAAAACAAGAATCAGAAACAAATTCATTATCTTCGATGATCTGTGAACAGTCAAATAATAAACAAATATTAAAGCAATAGAAGGAAAATGACATACAAAAAAGGTTTCCATCTCATTTTTCATCTCCGCAATACCACTAATAATCTCCACTTTCTCCACATGACCAAGGTTGTCGAACATGTTTGATGAAGCACCCTCCAGTTTCTGCAGTCTTTCTTCCCTTCTTTGCTGTGCCCTCTTCTCATACTCCGCAATTGAATCATCCTTGTCAAGCAGAAAACTAACACACTTCTGTTTGTAGAAATCGGAACATTTTTCGCAACGGCAGAGGGCGTCCCTCCAGTTCTTTATAAGAAATATAGCCTTGTTCCTTTCCGCAGGCGGTGGTGCAGCCCCAATGTCAAAGCCAAGCTGACAAGAATTACCTGAGCTTCCATCTTCACTGCATTTTTTCAAGCTCAAAGCTTTCTCAGACACTTCTGCAGAAACCAACTTTTCTTCACCAGATACATTCTCAGGCTTGATATCACCACCATTGCATGGTTTCAAGTGGTCGCAGCTATTATCATTGATCTTGCCAGTACTATCACAGGTAGGCGAAGCCTCTTCTAGTATGCCTTTCCCTTTTTCATCGTTTGTAACCGCTTCATGCTTCTTAGGAGCAACGTTCTGGGGATAAAAGGCTAAGAATGAACAAGTAGCTGAGCAACCTGAGCAAATAAGATCCTCATATAAAGCCTCCCCTTCCTCGTCCACAGGGATCTGATACACAAAGAATTGACTCATTACCTAGCTTAGTTCATTAAAAATAAAAAATCCACGCATAACTCAACATAATAATGATTTGGATATAAGGGCCAATGAAAGAAGAAAAGTCAGGTAATTGTTATCCAGACAAGGCAAAAACTTAATGAAATCACAATATAACGCACAATAAGAGACAAAAGTCCTCCTAAAAATCATCCTCATAAAAAAAAAAAATTGTGGAGTAAACTCTAGGTCAATCACAGTTTACAATTTTACATCACTTAAAGATGACTCCAAAAAGAGCCACTAAACAACACCCAAAATAATCAGATACATTATGTTGTCTTACATGGAACCAAGCAAGAGATGCAAGGACAAATATCATATAGTAAAGCCAGTGCCAAGACTACACTGCCCAGCACAAAACCCTTGATAAGCCTCTGCCCTATTGGTGACTGACAAGAGCATCAATAATGCTTTTCTAAGGAATCAATCAATGCCATTTTGTGCCTCAGTTCATCATTAATTTCACATACATTAATAATCTAATTTTCCTGCACTTGATACAAGAGAAAATTTGCATTTAAAACATTGGAACAGTTTGTTTTTTATTTAGTTAGACGTGTCAAAATTCGACTTAACCCAAAACCGATCCAAACACCTTAAACTAATGACTTGAACAATATTTCATGAACCAGAACCAATTTTATCCGAACTCAAAGAAAAACCTGTTTTTTTCCCAGACAGGCCCGGGAACCATTTCATTTATACCAATAATGTGAAATATTGAGAACTTTATTGCAAAAAATACGTTCAAGGGTTTAATAGTGGTTTTTATTGAATCCAGACGTTATTTGTATGGTTAAATTTGGCTATAAATGACTTCATTAAATCAAAAAAATCCAACATATATATATAAAGAAAGTGTGAATTCAAATCCCTTAGCCAGTTGGATCAACCCGAAAACTAACAATTCAGGTCTTAAACAAGCTGACAAGCATTGTTTGACTCAAACCCAAAATTATTTTACTCTAACCCGACCCAACCAAATTCATTTGACTGAGGTTATAAGTTTTCTGTCCTAATTGAAGAAATAGAATCAACAAAGATATTTGTCTAGCTAGACCTTGAAAACATTAATAAATGGTAATGAAATATGAGCAAATCACTGAAATAAGCTAAAAGATAAAATGTAAGACACCACCTTTTCAGAGGACTCAAGGCCAAGATGCTCCCTGTGATACCAGTCCTCACATACACAGCACTGTACCATTTCTTCTTCCTCTTCAACACTTGGATCCGGATAAGGGCGATCACAAGTGCAATATGTACCTTTGAAGTTATGGTTGTACGAATTTTCCGCATTCTCTATGTCCTTACTTGGCTGAAGCTTACAGATGAAGTTTCCAAACTTAGAATTTCCACAATCACACCTAAAGTTTCTCTTGGTCCACAGCTCCACAATCTACATAAACAACAGAGCGTAAGATTCATGTAGCTGGCTGTCTCTGAGGCCACACCTCCAGACACCAATGTTACATGCAGTTATTGTAGTATAACGGACAATGTGAGGATGGGAATGTTAGTGCACATCAGACAAAATGCTCAACATAGGAGCATGAAAAGAAAGACCATAGAAATGAATATAGATAAAAATATCAAACTCACAGTAAAACAAAATCCTAGATTCTAGTTTGCTTTCTCAATATCTTCCGTTTTAGTTTCCTTTTCAATCCCAAGCACATGAAAACCAGAAGAAAAAGATAGAGGAAGGTCAAAAGCTATGCACCCCAAGAAAAAATGATTAAATGAAACATCTCCCTTTGATTCAGACAACTTTACATTAGACAGTACATCTAAAATATGATATCTTGCAGAACCATAGGATCATAACTCAACAATTCCAGATAAATATTCAATTCGAAATGCCTAGAAAATCAACTCCAAAGGCACGTCATCTTTCCACAAGATTTAGAATAAGTTTGTATAATCTCTTGATAGAGAAACATAAATGCAAGTGATAAAAGAACTATAAAGCATTGGAAAAAAAAAAAAAAAAAAAGATTTCTTACTTAAGTCAGAATTTCAAGAATAAGCAATATACTAAAGATCAGACATTGCAATATATTATATATATATGAAATACCATGGACAGCCGGACAGGCATCTTAAGCAAACAGATATATAGAGTATAATTGGTCAACTAAGATTTGTCAGAAAATTCTGGATTATATATTTTGTATGACCAAAGAACATATGATTGATAGAATCCACGATTTCAAGTGTAAGTAAGCAATGCAAATGAAATAATTCCATATCATGGTAGTTGGGTCTGTGAATGTAAATCTTAAGAACCATATAAGATTCAACTATATGGCCAGATTATTTTCAATAGCCTTGCCATAAATCTTAACTTTCTCCACAGACAGCCCAATATAAGTTAGACATGCCAACAAAAATCTGCTTGCAAAAACTTATTCTCTCATTCTAAGAACATTACCTCATGTCCTTCATGGCAAGACAGGCTACATGCGGTGCAAAATCCAGCATTTCCTTCAGGAGTGCATGTCAAACATGAAAATATAGCTTGCCTTTTCAAATAACCTTTCGAGTATGTACACTCGTCTCCATCATCACCACCCAAAACCATTTCAGCTTCCTGTAACACAAATTACAGTATCATATAGGATGGAAGAAAAACTACTCTTCGCACACATTTTCAAGTTTGTACCATATGAAAGTCGTAATATCATATAACAAGCAAAAACAGCAGACGTAAGCTAATAACTCTTACAGACAATTAACACAATTTGACAATTACACCAAGTATAACCAACAAATGCATACGGACGGATATAGCCAGACCAAATTTCTCATCAAACATAACCACTCATATAACCCTAAAATGAAGACTAGATATTTAACCTAACAGTCCAACCAATAGATGCTCAGCTGCAGCGCAACATAAAGAATATCACCAGCAGTCAGCAAGAGGAAAGTGGCACATGTCATCGAGCGTACAGGTAATCAATAAGGCAGAACACTAGAGAATGTGATGTTGAAAGCTACTCAAGTTCAAATTTCACAAGCAAATGGCTTGGAAAATAGTAGTTGATTATGCCCAAGATATAGTTTCTCAGAGTAAGCCTACGTATAGTGTCATTACTCACATGCCTCTATCAAGTCTTAGGCTTAAAAGGTTCATATGTGCCTGGCCTAACCTTATGTTATAGCAGAAAGGCTCCTTTGAGAGTCTTAAGCAACGAAATTATAAACGAAAATGAGTTAACAAAATCATAGTCAAGTACCTGCTCTGCCTCTCTTCAACTCTAAAATTTAAAATTTTCAATCAATCCATTCAGATTTTCCATTTAAATAAACCCACCATAAGCTTGATTTAAAATTATATCCAACCTCAAATCAAAGACAAAAGCTTAATACAAATCAAAAGTTCACATTGGCACAGAATTAATCCAAACCTCAATAACTCAATAAGCACTACATAACAATATATCAACTAATAATTTTTGTCTCTCAAATAGCGTAATGCTAGTAATCTTCTCTAAATTCTATCCAAAAATGTAATGATTTTCTTATTCTACACACCAATCCACCATAAAATTGTAAAAATGATAACATGCATCAGCAATTGGGCATAATTTTCAATTCCAGTAATCAAATAAAAATCAAAAACCAAATTAAAACAATCGATAAACATCAAACTAAACTCAAACTCTAAAACCCTAAATAAATCAGGAAAATGACGAAAAAATTGAAAATTTTAAACTATGAAAATTATACCATCTCGCGTTCTTCGAGGTCATCGAGGTACTCATTGAGAGTACAAGTCTCCTTTTCACGATCATCTTCGAACGCATCATCCATTTTTGTGAGAATTTGGCAAGAAAATTTCAGAAGAAATTGATGAAAGAGATTAGCAATAAAACCCTAGATTTTAGCAAAACGCTGAAAATTGCATAATTAGGGCACTGAAGTAGAGTAAGAGATAGAGAGAAGGATGAGTGAAAAGAGGGGTTTGGTTTTAGGGCTTTTATTGATTTTAAGGACCGCCAGGATATTTCCCGCCAGATCTCCTCTTTTGGTAAGTGATTTAGGATATTATTGATTTTTAATTTTAATTGTATCTTAGGTAATATCCAATTAAAATTATTATTACATTAATTTGGATTGGTTGAGTATTACAAAGTATATTATTGATTTAATGTCAAATCTTTTCTTTTGGTAATAAGTGATTTTGGATATTAATGATTTAATTGTATTTTTTTGGTAATATCCAATTAAAATTATTATTACATTAATAATTTGAAAATAGTTTTTAGTCTTTTTACCGGTTAATTTCAGGCGTAAGGTCCCGTTCATTTCACCTTATTTTTGCTAAACTAAAATTATTTTTACTGAATTGAAATTATTTTTGCTAAACTAAAATTATTTAACTGAACAGAAATTAATTTTATTGAATTGTACTTATTTTTACTGAATTGAAATTATTTTTACTGAACTGAATTTATTTTTACTGAACTAAAATTATTTAATTGAACTAAAATTATTTTTACTTAATTTTATGTTTTTTAAGGTGAAGTGAACAGGACCTAACCGTATAAACTTTGATTGGTTGAGTATTACGGAGTATATTACTGATTTAATGTCAAATCTCTTCTTTTGGTAATAAGGGATTTGGATATTAATGTTTTTTCAATTGTATTTTTGATAATATCCAATTAAAATTATATTACATTAATAATAGTTTGAAAAGAGTTTAACTGGTTTATTTCAAGAGTAAGTCAAATTTGAATCGATTGAGTATTATATTTCTATCAAATTAAGATTGTATTGTTGCGAGTTTGAGTTAAATTTTAATTAAACGAGTCATACCTTACCAATTTTAAGGAAAATGATAAGAAATAATGAATGTACAGACTACGGAGTACGGTGATTGTTTTATTAGAATATTTTTATTATAAAATTATTTTATTCATTAGTACATTGCTTTTGGTATGATGCTTATAATTGAATGAATTTGATTCTATGAAAAATAACCGAATAATTAATTCATTAATTTATGCTGTCCTTGTTTGGTAAATAGTTGCTAGCTGATTGATATAATTGATTGTAATAATTGGTTTGACTATTGTTTATTTGACTAATTGACTACCTGACTGGTTGTGTAATAATGTTTGGTAAAATAGATATTAATAATTAGCTGTTTTAGTGTATATAATAGCCAAAGAGTTAAATATTCAATAAGTTAATTTCAAAAAGACTCATATATTGAGTTTTTTCAAAAGAGTTTTTTATGTCCATAAAACTCTTTCATTAAGTTGTTAATTGAACACTAGTTTTTTAGAATGGTCAAACCTATAATCGTCCTCAATAAATTTAAAACCGTTAAAAAAGCTACTCGTATTTACCAAATAAGGCCACTACTAAATATCGTAATCTTATTGGTTGTAAACTAACTTATATTATCTAAACTTATTAGCTCATTTAAATTTAATACAATTATTAAAATCTAGTCTATCCATTATACCGTCTTAATCATAATTCATCCTCAATTCTCCCACTGGCCTCTTTTTACAAAACCATCAACCACCATAAGAATACATACTCACATCCGTTATTCCCACGGAGTACATGATATTTTGTTATTGTTGTTTTGGTCGTCATCAAATATCATAATCCAAGATTAAAATACACATTTTTCAAGTATTAGAAGTTAAAGTTCAAGTCCTTTAAAAAAGAAGAAGTTAAAGTTCAAGTTGTTATCCATATTATAAATAGAGGATTAGTGCTTGTAAAAGAAAACGACTTAAATACATTGACTAATCACCCCAAATCCCAAAATTACCTCCAATTAGACTACCTCAAATCCCAATATTTCATACCCCAAATTAAAATCTCACTTCCTACAGCGCCAAAAGTACACCCCCCAAAAAAATCCAAAAATAAAAATGCAAACATTTCTGTTACTTTTCTCTCTCCTTCTCTTCTCCTTCATACAACACCATCTTCTAGCAGTTGCAGAACTCTGTTCTACCTTCTCGTGCAACCAACACAGAAGAGACCCGATCCAATTCCCATTTTGGGTACCCGATAACCAAACCTCTCGATGCGGGTACCCCGGGTTCAAACTCTCCTGCAACTCCGCGGGTCAAACCCTTTTTCCTCTAAAGTCCGATCATCTTATTGTTCAAGGTATATCGTACCCGGATCAGCTCATTTGGGTATCCGACCCGAATCAATGTATTCCTAAACGGGTTATTGAGTTCTCTAATTCGGAGCTTATGCCGTTTAGTTATGGGCCTTATGATAATAAACCTTGCACTTTTTTGAACTGTTCCGGCCCGAAGTTTGATCCGGCCCAACTTCCTGGGGATGTTTCGGTAATTTCGTGTATGAGTGGCTGGAATTATACGGTTGTGGCTGCGTTTGATGACGTGTCGGAGGCGAAGATGAGGAGGAAGTGTGAGGTGGTTAAGAAGGTAAACGCTGCGTTTTGGTGGAGGGGGATGGAATACGGTGTGTTTCCGATGGATATGAGTGATGTGTTTGTGCAGTTGGGTTGGGAAGTTCCGAGTTGCGCTAATTGTATGCTACGTGGTGGGTCTTGTGGGTTGGTTGGTGATTCGGGTCTCGAAGTTGGATGCTACCTTCCTGCTGCTTCGGGTGAGTATTATTTTCTACGTTCTTGTGTTTAAAGGAGATTATTCGTGAATTCGTGACTTTTTTTTTATTTTTTTTATTTTTTATAATTATATTCTCCTCGTCTCTAAATAACAATGTCGCATGTTACATGTGAATATGTTATTTGAGGTGTTTAACTAGAAAATTTTTGAAACCGGTTTATTATGAGCCTAGTGAAAATAATATGACGTATTGTTTACTGTTGTATTGTATGATTGTGGGATGGAGGGAATTTTACGTAATGGAGGATCGATAATCGTGGAATCAACCATTAGTGGCTAGTATGGGGTGATTTCGCTATCAAACTTTATTCTTGATATAGGATTTTCGAACAAGTGCTATCTTGCTATGATGCTTTGTATTTTGTTGTCGCATAAAACAGACAAACGTGTATACCCACAAAATTGGTATGCCACTTAAATTAAGAAGGGACCTTAGAGGCAGACAGTAATTTAAATATAGTAATATTCCACAGGGTTTGTAGTTCATACTAGGTTTATATGTCTAATTTAAATTTCAGATTTTGAGCCATTGGAGGAGCATGCTTGTCCAAAGATTTTCCCACAGTCCATTGAATAACTTGTCCTGTATAATGTGGTTGAGTTTGGAATTGGGATGCCTAAGCCTCAACTTGTTTTGACTGACTGTAGAAAGCTTAACGCTAGGCCGAACACGACACTCAAGTACTAATGGATGATTCTAAATACTATACCCTTTGTTTAATGGGTCAATTAGTAGCCTTTGTCTACAGGAGTGCAATTCAAAATGTGATCTCATTTAGGGGCGAAAAGAGTAGTTTAAGATTAGTTTTCATTTGTTTTAAAATACTGGTCTGTTTTGACATTTTAAAATAGCATAACTATCTTTAATATTTTTCTCCTTATATGTCTATGAAAAGTATAGAGTGATAATTAAATGAAACTCCTTAAGATTAGTCTAATCTAATGACCAATCTGTATTTTCTAATAAGGGGAATCAATACATAGCCTCATAGGAATAGCGCGTATGGTATGATATTCACATGATACATATAGCATTACCAACTTTCTCATGCTACAAAAATTTAAAAGTCATAATCTACGAGCTTCCATATTTCTTTTACTAGTAAATACAACAAATCACTCTTTGAATTCAAAACTTAAGGACTAAAAGCCGGTTTTATAATGGTAGTGTAGTCAATTTTGGCTTTTGTACACAACCATTTGTTCTGAACTTCTTATGGCATTTGCCAGAAAACAAATTTGTTTCTAACTCTTACTCCGTATGACCGTATTTATTAGTAGTTATTTTATTGCGAATGAGAATCTGAGAAAAGCATAAATTCATTTACCAAATATAGAATAAGGAGCTTAATTTAATTCCTTAAGATATTTTGTGTGAAAATTCCATAGGTTGTTAAAACTCGGAAAATCTTTCTTGTAAGAAGTTAGTAAAATCGATACTTGTTGCTTCTACTTGAGCGCGCAGTAGCTAAGATCAAAGAACACAATTCAGGTTGCTGATAGTATACTGACGTGGTATTGATTTAAGAAATTCATAGTTAGGTTAACAACTGCTGAATTTATAATTAGGAACAAATGAAAACGAATTGTGAACTTGTCTTGGTAGGTTCTGAGATGTGGACATTTCAACTAATGTGGTCTAGTAGATTGAGTTTCTCATCTTGTATTACACGGAAGGTGGGCAGAAGAGGTTTCCTTTCTTTGTTAAACTTTTAATTAAATTGGTGTTATCTTGCTTTCTAATGAGCCATGACTCATTGAAGTTGACATCTACTTCTTGGCTCTTACCATGTATACGAGTATTACGTATAAGAAATAGGTGTTTATACTCTTGGAAGTTTGTTGCTGTTTTTGTGTGTACGCTTGTTCTGATGGCCATTTTGATGTCGAAAGCTATGTAGCTATGTAAGGCTGTGAGCCCCTAATGTTCCTTTCAATTCTGTCCCCATACATGCTCGTGTGGTTATTGTTTTTTGCACTCCAACTTTTGGGTTTTAATCGTTTTAAGTATGGCAGTGAGCCCGTACTATATGTTTCAAGTCCGTCCCCATACATGCTCCGTGTGAGTATTGCTTTTCGCAATCCAAAATTTTGGTTTGTGAGGCCTTTGGCGAGAGCCAATTCATCAAGCCATGCCTAGATAAAATTTGAGGGTTGTAAAAATCAATTTCATGTTGGTACTGTTTCCTTTGTTACATTACATGTTTTCTCACTGTCACCCATTACACTTTTGTGGAAATGTAAGATGTAAGTAACAAATAGTCCTGGGCAGGAATCATAATCTCGATCAGGATTCGTGAACTTGTGCCCTGATATTAGCATATGTCTATATTTCGTACTTTTTTGTAAATTTTTTTTTAAAAAATTAGAGGGTCATAAATTAACAATTCTTACAATTTATTTGCCAAATTTAATATATATAGTTATAACAATTATATTTATTTATATTTATATGACTATATTTCGTACTTTTTTGTAAATTTTTTTTACAAAAATTAGAGAGTCAAAATTAGAGGATCATAAATTAACAATTCTTACAATTTATTTGCCAAATTTAATACATATAGTTATAACAATTATATTTATTTATATTTATATGACTATATTTCGTACTTTTTTGTAAATTTTTTTTACAAAAATTAGAGGGTCAAAATTAGAGGATCATAAGTTAACAATTCTTACAATTTATTTGCCAAATTTAATACATATAGTTATAACAATTATATTTATTTATATTTAGTATAATTTAGGCTTAAATTGATATATGATTTGGGTTTTAGTAATACTTTTATTAGGTTACAGGGTACCCTACAGGTCCCGGTTCCAAAAAATCGAGAACCTGAACCGGAACCGGAACCTGTTGCAACAGGTTCTCTATTTTACTATCGGAACCGGAACCTCTTGTACAGGTTCCGAACACGTTCCAGTTCTGATTGAGAGTACCCTAAATTTTTACTCACCCTGAGTAGAAAAGCAGGGTAACATTTTTTTTATTTTGAAATTGATTTTTAGGTATAATATAATGTCATAAACTATCGTCTCAATAACAATGCACTAAAGTACTTATACGACTCACTTCTGTCCAAAGTGGACGCAAGCCATTACGAGCAGACGCGTCCTCTGTTTATTGTGCCATGTAAAACCCTGAAGTCCAATAAATACTAGGAAGCAATTTTGCAAGATATCTTAAACAGCATTAATTTGCTCACTAGATGAAAATCAAGACCTGATCAAAATACTCCTGAATGTGCTATTAACCCTCTCATTTACATCTTTACAGGTTTACCAAAAAGCGCCAAATATGGCTTAATGCTGGGAGCTGGAATACCAGGCCTTCTATGCATTATTGGGTTGACATTCTACATCAGCAGCAGGGTTAGTGCTCGTAATCAGAATCGACGTTACTCAAACACTGAATCCTCGCCCTCAATCTTTCCGCAGCCAATTATCATTACACTGGGCCTTGATGCCCCTACCATAGAATCCTATCCGAAAACCATTCTAGGAGAAAGCAAGCGACTCCCAAAGCCCAGTGACAATACCTGCCCTATATGCTTGTCAGAGTATGAGCCCAAAGAGATCTTGAGGTCTATACCAGACTGTAATCACTACTTCCATGCCGAATGCATAGATGAATGGTTGAGGATGAATGCCACCTGCCCTCTTTGCAGAAATTCGCCTCAACCATCATCTGTGCTTGCTGGCAGCTAGCCAGCTAACTCCTGCTTAGTCCTTGAAATCTCCTTGTCGCGTAGTCTGGATCATTAGCATTGATTCATTGTTGGTTGTATATACTATAGTTTTTTGTTTTAGGAAAAAAAGAAAAAGGAAATAGAATTCTTGGGCATCTTTGTGCACAAATTTTGGGGTTATTATACAGACACAAATACCATTCATTGAAGTTTATGATCAATACTGTTATTCAAAAGGCAGTCACAGTTTATTGCTTACATCAATCTACCTGCAGTTTTTGAATTCTTGTTTCATCAGCCCCCTTTACCTTGAGAAAGAAAACAAAGTCATATAAAGCTCAATAAATTGACAAGCAGGGAGTGTTGTTTTGTCAAACATAAATTGGTATACAGTCCTATACACGGTGTATAATTCAACTCTTCTACGTTCTATGTATCTTATGCTAGTTGTGTATCTGTGTGGTAGTTGACACTCAGACAAGGCTTGTCCTTACCCAGTACTTCAACTTTTAATGCAACACCTTAATAATGTAGAGGAAAGAACCTACAAAAATACAGAAGTGAAGTAAGCTTGAAGATTGGCTTGAAAAATCATAACTAAATCTAGCAAGTAGGTCAATCTAAATACTATCTGTTTCATTTTCTTTTATATGCAAAGTGAAAAGCATGCCAACGTCTTTAAGAATCAAGAATATATTATGTACATAGTATGCCATGTTCGAAGTTGTGAGCCTCTATGTATTTGACAGTTAAAACATGTACTTATACCAAACACTCGTACCTTGTATAAGCTAAAAGTAACGCGGCTACCCCAGCTGGGTTGCAGTAGGTTTGTGCACCAGTTCGGCTGCCTCTGCATTTTATTTATCTGATTTACAGTTTTCTGTTCCCTTAACTCCTGCTCCTTTAAAATTTAACTCAGAAATAAACAGACTTAAATGTGTGAACCAGACACTGAAATATGATATTAGGCTATTTGGCATAAGAAACTCAACTAATATCCTTAAATCATGCAGTCATGTATAGTACATGCTTGCAATCTACAAAGGCGTTACCTTCTATATAAACCTTTAAATAAACAAATTCAGTCTGAAAAAAAAAATCAGATTTAGAACTGAAGTACACAAATATGAGTCGCCTTGTCACATTCTTAGCTCTTCTCTTAGTGCTCTTCAGCACCACCGTGACAGGCCAAATACAACTAGGACAGCCAGGAGGACAGGCAGCAATTCCATGTAATCAGGTGATTAATGAGCTGTCACCGTGTTTATCTTACCTCCACAGTCAATACTCCTCACCCTCGACTAATTGCTGCCAAGGCGCTAAGTATGTATATAAGCATTACGGGAAAAGCAAGAAGAAACGACAGGGAGTTTGCCAATGTCTCGAGTCTGTACTGCCTCTTATAGGACAGATTGATGGTTCACTCATCTCTGCTCTTCCTCAACGGTGTGGGTTGAAACTCAAACTTCCTCCCATCAGTCAAAACTTTAACTGTTCCCAGTAAGATTATGTGTTCTGTCCTCCCCTTATTTTTTAATCTCTTTTGGAAACACAAGAAAGTTTATCTTACTTTAGCTGTATGTGATTATTGTGCAGGGTTAAATGATCGAAACAAAGATGAAGAATGAGGAAGATTTTAATAATTATAGGAAAAGAAAGGTTCTATGGAGTTGTAATATGTAGTAGCTGTTACAAAATGACAAGAGTGGTACACAAAATGTGGGATAGAGGATTTGAATTCGTTCAATAAAACATGCTAAATTACAGAGTTTTTTTTTTTTTTTTTTTTTTTTTTTTTTTTTTTTGCAAAGTACAACTCTGTATGTGTTATAATACTTCTATATATAATTCTATTGTAGTAGCAATTAGCAAATAATAACAATATTCACAATGAGTTTGTTCTTAACTTGTTCTCTCCCCCTCCCCCCCCCCTTCTAATCTCTCATAACAATGTACTTGAAAAAAAATTATTCTCTCATAAGCATAACATAAAATAAAGATAATAAAGTTTTTACATACGCATAAATTCACACTTAAAGTTTTCATTGAAAATATCAAAATAGTGAATAAAACTCATAGGATGATTAAAAAAAGACTAAGTGGAGAAATTTGGAGCAAGCCCATCTATGTATATAATTTGCGATCTATGTAGTATTAAACTTGTCATAGTGGTTTGTCAAGTCCGGTTGTGTTCAGATAAAGTCTAGTCTAAGTTATATTTCAATTAAATGATGCTTATTCAAGAGAATCAAGACTTTGAATATTGACCTAATGATTACACGAGTTTCACAAATAAGTCATCATAAATGATAAATATAAATATAGTGGTTAATGATCAAATCTAACAATATTCGTGTAAAATATCATATCATGACATCAACAATACAAGGTATTTTATGAAAAAAGCTCACAATCTCAAATCACTATCAACAATGTCAATTCGAGTCTAAATAGATTGTTGGTTGATGATTACAGTTTATAAATCTCTGAGATTAATCATGTACACTTTAATACAGGTACAGGATAATTAAAATTATTATTGTTGGATTGGATGACACAGACCATACAAGTACATTATTGTTAGAAGCCAAACCAATTTTCATAAATTGCAAAAATACCCCTTTTTAAATTCATTTTTTGATCTTTTCTTTGTTTATATTTATGGGTGTTTTTGACTTTTTAATAATTGTACAAAATTACCAAAGATAAACACTACGCCGCCAAGGCGCCAACACTCCGGAGGAAGGCACTGGCTCGCTGCAGCAGATCAAGCGCACGTAGCTCGACAGCCCAACTTCCCTTTCTCCAACTTTGCCGATGTTCAACCCTCATTTTCTCTCTCCTCTGCTCCTAATTTCTCGAAAAGGTTAGACCCCTTTTGAATTTCTCCCCATTATATGATTTATATCCTAATTATTAAGCATTTAATTTTTGGGGTTTGCTTAAACCCTAAACCCTAGTTCATATCTTCACATTTTCTGTTATTTTTGTTTTGTGATTTAAATTAAATTTCATATTTATAAGATCTGAAATGCTCTGATTGATGCTAACTTTTGCTGTTAATTTTCCGTTTGTTGGTGATTTGATGATTTCAGGGTTCTGATTTTGGTGATGATATCTGAAAGTATCAATCTTTTTCATTAATTGTTTGAGAAATTTAGTTAATTTGGTTTTTTGAAGATGGCTTATAGGCGTAGTGTTTGTACTCGAGCTACCCTTTTAGCTCGACGAATCAATCCTTGTTTTAGTTACATTTCTCATGACAATGACAAAAACAATAACAATAACAATGATAAGCCCGAATTGTTGTCTCGGCGGAAAATCGACGATTTACTAGCCCAAAGGAGGTCTTTTGGAACTTATAGTAACAGTTCTAGGGCATCCAGTAGTTTATTTCATCATCAAAGATCATTTTTCCCTGGACATGGAACTGGGGCTATTAGTTTTCATAGATATATGTCAACTTCTGTTGGGGAAGCGTCAGATAAGGTTGGTTTCATTAGTGATGTTGCTGAGGTTATGAGTGATACCACGATGGACGCGGTTGTGTCTCAGGCCCCTGTTTTGAGTGAAGTCGCAACTGCTGCTGCGGATTCTGCTATACCAGTTGCTGCTTTGCAGTATTTGATTGATGGGGTTCACAGTTTTACTGGTTTAAATTGGTGAGAATCTGAAATGATTCTTCTTTGTTCCTTTTTTACTGGTTTGAAATTGATGGATGCTCTCTAAATTTTGTGAAATTTTCCCTTTATTTTAGGTGGGCTTCAATAGCTCTTACGACTCTGATGATTCGTGGGATGACTGTCCCTTTCCTGATTAGTCAGCTCAAAGCCACTGCTAAGTTGACGGTATTGATATATTGATATTCAAACTTTTTTTCACCGTCTTTAGCTCCCTAGTTGCAACATCACTTCACTTTATGTAAAGAGCATGTATAATCTTGTATGTAACATGGAATAGTTTATCATATATAGCTTATGAGGCCGCGTCTCGAGGAAATCAAGGGGGAGATGGAAGCCACGGTATGGTTACCAATTCCTTTTCTTTTGATTAAAATTAAACTTTTTTGTACTATACTATCCATCCAATCTCTGTACTTTGCCTTGTAATGTTAAGGAGTGAATTGTTCATTCTGCTTATAAGTTTCTTATGTGTGTGCATGTGTGTTGGGAGGGGAAGAGGGGTGGAAAAGGGTTATATATTGCTGTCTTCTATGTAGTGGAGCCTTATCCAGTGCTTTAATTATCTTCAAACTTTGCAAAAATATTTAGCAATTCAGAACCTGTAGTAGTATTTATATCGAGGTGAGCCAGTACTTTGTGATTGTTATTTGGAATTCTTGTGCTCGTATTACTGTTTTTACAATCGTAAATTTAGTGTAGCTGATGGCTCTTTCACCTTGCAATAGGCTGATATTTTTTATTCCATTGTTATCACCTTATGGTCAATTCCTTGCATCTGTACACAAGCTAGGAAGTTCTTTGTTTTGGTTTCATTTTTTATAGACATACATATGCAATTATCAACTTATTTGATGCATGCATGCCTTGGATAGGGACTTCTTTGACTTTCCTGGTCTGTGTCTGTTCAATAAACCTTAAGAATCTTTGGTGTTTCCTTACAGGGTAATACGGATGAAGGGAGACTGAAAATGAACGAGATATTCAAAGAGTAAGTCAGGCATGAAGAACCTCACATGAACTGTTTTGTTGTTATTTGTTTGTCTGGGATAGGTATGCTTACTTATCTTGGTGAATGGATGTATTCGGCTCTCTGCCAGAATTGGAACAGGCTAATCTGATTATTATTGGATACTGGCTGTAGTCTGTGTGTTGATTAGTTACACTGGACTTAATGTTACATATTCTGACCTCTAGATAAGCTGGAACCGTGCAATTTATGGACATATTCTTATTGATTTATATTCTGTAGTTTTATATACACTTCTTTAAGTTGGACTTTAAGCTAAACCCCTGGAGCTGAAAGGTGATATACTTCATCGAGTAATGATAAAAAGCTCCAGGGAAAGTATTTACTGTTCTCACAAATCACTTATGACGTTACGAGCAATGTGCTAGGCAAGCGGTGACTAGGTGAGGAGCTTGTATTGGGGGCAGCATGGGGAAGGGAAATGGAAAATCTCCTTCAGGTTTCAGCAAATTTAGATGCTATTAATGCCCATCAATCTATGCGTGATTAACATAGAAAAGGCTTTGGTATGCTGTAAGTAAAGGACTTTTATGCCTAGACTAGAGTCTTTATTTAGAATGATAATTTAAGGATTTATATTGGGTGCTATGAGCTATCCAACTGTACATTCTGCACTTTGACTTAAGCTTCTTGCATTTGGAGCCCTTATTCATGTTCTTTTCTTTTGTGACCTTTGGGTCTACCAGATTGGGTTAAGCCATGACTTAAAAGCTTTCGTAGGGCAGCTTTTCAAACTCTACTAGTTGACTAGACATGGTTTGAGGTTCTAGACTTCTAGGCTTTCATTTGCTCTTGAAGTCTGAATTCATAGCTTTGCCCTTAAGGCCTCTTGGATACACATTTTATAATTTGTCACCAAAAAGTTGTGAAAGTTGCCTTTGGCATGTGATTTGGAATTGTCCATGATATAATTTCTGGTACTTAGATATGCTGTAAAAACATCAAAATCTGTTTATTTCTTATGTGGACACAAACTTCCGGTTATATGTAGAGTTGAGATATGAAAGTTTGAGGTACAAAAATGCATTGGTTAGAGGGGTTTTTGAAATTTAAGTGTGAAATGCTCAATAAATAATTTAAATTCGTGGGTGTTCAAAACAATCTTGGAGTGAGTATTCTGTACAACCACCCTGTATAAATCTTGCCATGGGCTTGGTTTGAAGTTGTCTAAATGTACACATCATGACGTGGAACTGGAATAAGTACCATCATGTATATTGTTTAAGAAACTCAGCATTTCTGATTTGAGGAATTCTCTATACTTGGTCTATTGGCTGTAGTTGATCGTCGACTTTGTTTAGTATGCTATTAAAATTTCAAATATTTATTTTCTAAGTTAGAGTGAAAGAAATTCACCGACTAGGTGTGGGTGTGATTGCTTTAAAAAAATATAAAGAAAAAGAATAGAAAGAAAAGAAATGATGTATTCATAATTTTCATGCTTTACAATCGAAGATAATTTGATAAACTAAGCATTTTGGGTAAGGAAGTCGATTTTGGCATTTAGGTTTTCTGCATTGAATTGAGAAAGGTAGAGGAAACACTTTAGGCTGAGGGAAAAGAAAAAAAATCAAACAAGAAGGAAAGTGAGGAGGGAAGCAGAAGAAAGATGAGAAAAAAGAGGTGTAAGTGTGTAACAATTAGGAAAATCATGCTACGTGGGATTTCAATCCATGACTTGTTACTTTGCTAGTGAGGAATGACTTACACACCATATCACTACTGTGAGCTGTTTCATTCCTCCACAAAGTTTTTTGTGAGCTAAAGTTTATACTTTTTACTACTATTTGGGAAAATTATTCAGTAGCCCTGTTCTGTAGAACGGCTTGAGCCAGCTTATTTCCCAATCTGTGAGTTCTGGTAGGTTGTCAATTTCTGTAATGTATTTGCATGTTTGTTCTGTTGGAGTAATCCGTTTCTGTATTCTGTAGTTTTCAGGTTTTCCATGTGTGTGTTCGCTAATAATTTGATAAATGCAGATATGGTGTTACGCCATTTACTCCTCTTAAGGGGCTTCTTATTCAAGGTCCTGTCTTCATCAGTTTTTTTCTTAGCTGTAAGTTGATAGTGATAATCTTTTCTTGTGGTGCT